TATATTGGTGGTTCCTACAAATGTGCTGCTTTTTGTGAGTAAAAATATACTTGCATAATTTTAGATCTATATCTCAAAAACTGGCGGACTAGTTCGCGTATATACAAAGAACAGACGGTTATAGCTAAATAGACTGAATTCGTCACGCTGATCATTTATATAAATATATATATATATATAGCGACCCTTTAACATGTATATATATATATATATAGGATAGCATATATATATATATATATATATATATACATGTTACAGGGTCTCTGACGTCTCCCTCAGGGTGTTATAAACATCGTGGCAAACTTAATATACCCTATTCAACGTACAAAAGCAATAAAATCTACAATAATAAATAATCTGAAAAAAAATGCAATTACAAAAAAAATCAAAAATAATTTTTAAAAAAACGTCGTACAATTACATAAATATATATTAACTAGAAGGAGTAAAATCGATTTGCGCAAATCAAATTTCGATAAAAATACTTGGCTGCTAGCAGCTCAAACACAACAACAAGTCAACACAGATATATCAATATATATTCATCTGTATAACTTATTGAGTGCAAGCAAGCACCCACAAACATGAATTAGTTGGCATGAATGTTTTAAAACACACATGTACCTATGTAGATACACATACATCTATCTACACATACATAAATTCATACACATATATATAAAATGTGCCCATTATAATGTGTGTCTGCCTGACGGTCACGTAAAATTGAATATATTTTCATTTTACAAAATATTTTCCGTCTGACGAATACCTGCACAACCTTACGCATGCCATACTGGTATGAAACGTGAAAATATTTGCCAGCATGCATCTGCTTTTGCATGCAATTTCACCGTTTTGCCTCATGCTTGTCGTTATAGAAATACTCATTTTGCGAAAATCGCTTGTTGAATTTGCATGCTGTAGACATTTCCTGCCTAGACATATGAGAGCAAACAAATTTGCAAATATATGCATATGTATATGAATAAAAATTTATAACTGCAGTTATTGTCGAGCACGCCCACACATTTGGTGAATATTCTAACAAAATATGAAATATTACAATGACACGGCAATCAAATAGTTTTTTTAATGTAAAAATATTCACATTATAATTGTTTAGTTTAGAAAAAAATATAATTCCGTTACAACGATTTTTTAAAAATAAATAAATACCTATGCTTTTACACTTCTCAATAATCACAGCTATGAAACGACTTTTAGCATTCACAAAATGCTCTCACCCTCACTTGGCACATATACGGCAGATTTTGACCAGTTAACTGTAACGGATAATTTTAAAAGTAATAAAATCTGGAATATTTTCATCGTGCACTGTATTTTCTCTTACTATTTTAATATAAAAATATACGCGGTGCTGCACTGCGTATACGCAACATTTGTAAAATCGAATTAAAGTAGCGTTTTTGATTATTTACTTTGATTAAATTGTTGACATTGCTTAAATAATGAATACCGTTAGCAGCAAATACCGTTGCAGCGTTGATTAAATTAACACTTTACGTTCTAAATAATTCAATTATAACGAGCATTCGTTCAGTGATTGAATGTTATGAATATTTGAAAACATGTCTGAGCTCACATACGTGCTGGCGGCAGATGAGAAGGTGAAAACTTTTCATTTTCGCAATTATATATTTTGTTACAAAACATAGAAGAAAAATTCAACAATTTTTTTTTTTTTTATGTCAAAAAGATTTCTCAAAATATTTAATTTTTTTTTAGTTTTTGTGATCAAAACCAAGTGGAAGCAACAGTGCCGATATTTGTAAAGCAAACGTCGATACAAAATTTTTTGCAATGTCAAAAACAAAATAAATTATACTTTCAGTTATTTAAAGCTGCGGACTTAACATATACATCTTGTTTAGCAAAAAAAAAATTCAGTTATAGCCGCAGTTATTCATATTTGGTGGATGTTGAAGGCCTTTTAATTTGATTAGTCTATGGTTTAAACACATATGAGTACACATAGTGTTATGAAAATGGTTTGAAGTAGAAATAATAAAAAAATGGTAAATACGTACAGCATAACTTCAAAAATACAAATATATTAAAACGTAACGATATTTAGTAGCGTAGAGCTAATCGTGATAACCAGAAAATAAACAGCAACTTTCAAAATAATATTTTAAGGCATAATTACCTAATTTCAATACAATGAGTAAGCATTTTTGTACTTTGAAAATTTGTAATAATTGCCTACATTTAGGGTTCACATGAACGTATATATCAAACCGAGAGAAATGCAATACAAGTACAAACACATCTAAACAGATAGATTACTTCATGAAACAGTTATAAACATAATAATTTATCAAACACATAGGCATATGCTCGCTACAGTACATTAATCTCATATATCAATACATATATACATACAGTTATAAAGTTGCATTTCCAGTCGATCTATCAGAAAACCACTATCACACTATAATTGCCCATAAATTCAAACTACTAGAGCTGCAAGCATACATAATTGCACTTCAACTTGGTATTACAGTGTTTGCGAGACCACTCAAATACGAGTCAAAACTTAAGAAGGACAAGAAAAAACGTTAACTTCGTTTGCAACGAAGCTATAATACCTTTACAAATACAAAACGTTACTTACATCAATCAAGTTATGATTTCGATCGTTCAGTTTGTATGGCAACTATATGCTATAGTGATCCAATCTGAAATTTTTTTTGGAGATTGCACCATTGCTTTAAGCAATAATCCATGCCAAATTTCGAGAAGATATCTCGTCAAATGAAAAAGTTTTCCATACAAGCACTTGATTTCGATTGGTCAGTTTATACGGCAGCTATATGCTATAGTGATCCGATCTGAAAAAATTCTTCAGAGATTAAACTCTAGTCTTCGGGAAAACTCCATGTCAAGTTTTGAGACAATATATCGTCAAATGAAAAAGTTTTCTTTACAATCACTTGGTTCCGTGTACAGTATGTGCCATAATTTCTGAGCGTACCTCACCTTAAGCGCTTATATTTATATATTCTAGCACAGCGTCTGCTTCCACTTACTTGTCGCCTAGAAATAGGCAACAAACGACGAAACGCCGCAAAAAATCACTGGTAATAATCGAAAAGAGCATAACATAAACATACTTTGAAGTCTGACTGAAAATTTTCCATTGCAAATTGCTTCCAACATACCAATATAGCAAGAAATATATCTGCAAGACATATCAAGATATATTCAGTTTAACTTCAGTAAGCATTTGCAGATACTGGTTGAATGACGTAAATATGTACAAATACATATATGATTTATCGATTATTTTAGGGTGTTACAAAGCTAGATATATTGCCAGAGTATCAAAAATAGTGGTAAAACAATAATTTATTGTATTTTTTAACTTCCTACAGGCAACGAGATTAAAGTGAATGCTTGCAGCATAAAATTTCATATTTTGTTGTTGTACACAAATATGATTTCATATTTGTTGCAGGCATAAACGTTTGATTATGTGTAAATTTTCAATTTTCTGCAAATTGAATATTTTGCAACTGTAAATATAGAAAACAACAACTCTTTTGATCCCTCGTAAGTGCTTAAATACATATTTACCACAAAACCGAATAAATGGCCATAAATTGCCGTTGTGTCAAATTTATTACCAACCGCAAATTTGTCCAAATATCAGTTTACTAAAGCTTTGAAAATCCTTACCACTTTTTACTAATTTATTTATTCTAAGCTAGATTACTGCGTAGATTTATTATTGCTGTAATTTGCTGGAGAGCAAATATATTAAATATTTTCATATTTTTACTCTTGTTCGATGGATATGTGGTGCGATTGATAGAAAGTAAGAATGCGGAGAGTTTAGAAGTGTTGATGTTCATGGTGGTCTAATGTATTTAAGTCGCTGAGTGATAGTTTACCTTACTTTACCTGTTGCAATATATTACTCGATCTCTACCACGGCTATATCACCGATTTAGAGAGTGTAAAACTTAGCGGAAAAAAGTGTAAACTCTCTCAAAATGAACTGTGAGAGAAATTTATAAGTGATTAAGTGACAGACCACCTTAACTCGAAGTCGATCTGACAGCGACCTTCTTTCAAATAATTTTAGGCATATGGGAGCTTCAAACTACCTAATAAACGACCTAAACTTTTACCATTGCCACCATTTTTCTTAAGAACCCTACGCCTCAATACTAACTCACCTATATCGACGTCTACTAGGGAGTGAAGTCGATGTCATTATTTCGTTCTTTCATCCATTTCCAAAACGTACAACAATTTTGAATTTTGAAAGCAACAAAATCTTTAGATACGCCGTTATGAAGACAAATTTTTGAACGGTTTTAAAAATAAAAGTTTGTAAGGCTGCCACCTGTTTAAAAATTTGATTAAATAAATAATATAAGCATTACAATCTAAAGAGGTTTACAAAAATACAGAAATTTTTTTTAAAAGGGTTGCCACCTGTTTGCAAAAAATAAATAACTAAATTAACCCGCAATATTGCCATCAAACCAAAGCAATAATAATGTGAGCAGGCTTACATTTTTAAATACCGTTTATAAGAGTTGTCATCTGTAAATTCAATATTATTGTTAACAATAGTTTAACTGCAATATGGATAACATATGAAATAAGTTTTAAAAAGCTTACAGTTAAAAATTTTGGGAAGAGTTGCCACATAGGTATTTATATTTTTTAATTGTAGGTATTTTTTATTTATTTCATTTTATTATTTTTTTTCGCGAAATAAAAAATCTCAATTAGTGCCATAATATTGTATAAAATATTTCATATATTAAAGAGCTATATATATATAAGAGAGGTATAATACAATTTTGTAAGTATACGGTTTATATTTACATATTTACTATTATTTTTTGTTTTACTTAAAACTGTTTGATAGGATTCTTGAAGCAGGAAGAACTCGTTACAGTAAAGAAGTAAAACCACCGAACTGATATAAATTGAAATATTAAAATAATAAATAATATTAATAAATCACTTATAAAAGCACAAAAGTTTTACTGCTTTACTGCACACATTAGTCAACCTAGATATGGTAGGTAAAATTTATCACATTTTATATAATAATTTTATTTTTTTTTTTGCTTCACTTTAACGGTGGCACCATGCCGTCAAAACTACCGAGTATATTTCCAGGCGGATTGTAGTTACAAACGACGTACGTAGTATCACCTCTTTAAAAGCGAAATAAAAATTTAAATTTTGTATATAAATAGAGCGCGTGAAAGACATTCGCTCACCTTGCCGCAATACCCACACCTAATTGTCGACTCTCGCGCCACACAATTTGCGTAAAATGTCCGGTACCAGGCTTATAGGTGGCTTTCGAGAAATCATAATTGCGTATCTCATCGTACCAGTTTTTCACCACTGTAGCGCCATCTACCTCCATGCCACGTGATGTGTACAAGTTTTCTCCGTATGTGTGCACTTGACGGTGTTCCAGGCGACCAGTAGCGGCCAGATGCTATATGAATGAAATATATCGAATTACGCGTATACACATAAGTATTTAGATAATATTTGACATATATCTGAAGATATGGTTCTTGAGACATATTTATTTGCACTACTAAAGGTACGCCATATTTTTATTGAGTTATCGAAGATATTAAATGAGCAAACGGAGAACATTACTAACTACTGTATATACTGGTATATACCCGCAGTAGGATCCTCACTCACCTTCGCCCATTGTTGCGCATATCTACTCAATTCTTTGCTCAGAGATAGAGGTGGGCAGTTCTGATGTCGGCCACGATATCTATTATGAGCGTCCAAGCATTCATGATGAAAATCTGATACCTCATCTGAAGTAGCGCCACCACTGTGAAGGAAAAATATATTTATTTGTTAAAAGATATTACGCTTATATCCCGGTAGGAAACCATAGATGTAATTTAACATAGTACACTTTCTGCAAACAAAATGGTATAAGAAAATTTGTAATCCTCAGATGGCACCTGCGTCTACGTCGGGACTTTTCTTGTATTCATTAATACGCCAACTCTGAATGACAGCTTCCTCTCGAGTTTAGCCACTACTTTTACTGACTACACGACTACGCTACTCAAAACGCTATCTTTCATAAATAAATCTCTTAGAACTCTTTCATATCCTTTGAGAGATTTATACACATACAAATTTCGACAGACTCGCGACATAACCTTACCTCGATATCATTCCGCCATCGTAGCATACTTGTAATTGCGCTGGTTTCGATGATTGGTTTGCACGATGCTCGAAGGCATCCGGGTTAACGTGTCTGCATAAGTTTCTCCCTATATTTGCACGCTTGACTTTCCTTGAGATGGTATTATTATGGATTCGCGTCGAAGTAATGGGATATGCTTCGTCCATGTATTTGGATGTTGGGTTTCATTTCCCACTGAGCTCTCGTGTATTCGCGTCGAGTAATTGGCTGGGTCACCCCTGCACTTGGATGTTTGGGTTCGCTTGGTGTGGAACTCTGATGCATACGCGTCGACGTATTTGCATAAGTTTCATCCGCATATTTGCAGCAACTCCTTCCTGAACGTTCTACAGAAACTTCGTTTGTTCTCTACGGTTCCTTCACGACTCGTGTCATTCAAGTTCCTGTCAAAAGCTGTACTGCGCGCTGCTGAGTATGGCTCTATGTAGCCCTGACGCCACGGCTACAGCCAGTACAAGAGTTGTCGATGGTGCAGGCAATACGCTTTGGTGCCGTTGAAGTTGACGTCAATTCGATAGGTGACACTAAGTTGTGTTGGCGGCGGCTGATGACCTGCTCATATGCTGCTAATTTCTCATCCTTTCGCGACAGGCCTTACAATTACACGATTCTATCGGATTGCGCACTGGTTGCTGCTGCTGTTGCGCGACGTGCCTGATTGGAGGTCGCAACGGTTGAGGTCGCCGCGGTGTTCTCTGTGTTGAGAGCATAGAGGTTTCTGATATTGCTTGTGGTCGTTGTGGTGAAATGCCAAACTCGCGTACACACATCTCTGCGCCGCTGTGTGAAGATTTCGGCGTGCTGTGTTTTGTATTCTCTTCGGTCCGTTCCTTACCTCATATTGGCTCGGTCGGTCTATGTACGGAGTGCCGTGCACAACAATACGTGGGCCCACGCTCGCTTCGTTCACATTTCCTGATACATTGTATTGATCACGATTCCGCATCTGTGGTCTTGCTGCTCATAATACTGATAGCTTTGAGGCTGTGAAGATCGATAAGGATCACTACGATTACTACTACCGACATTGCCCATTTTGTAAAAGCTGCTTCAGCTTGTGCTCCGAAATGTTGACAGCGTTTTGTATGGCCGGTCGCCGTTCTACGACCACAAGCGAATTTGTAATATTGAATTTGTTTACGAATCACGTTTTCCCTTTTGACAACAGAAATTTGAGTCAAAATATTTTCCAACTTTCTTTAAATTCCAAATAATGCTTTGACATTTCCTTTTGGAAAATACTTCAAATATTATATAAATCAAACAAATTTCATGTATTTGTATTGTCGAGTTCGCTGAACAAATCAATTGGGACTCTTCTTACAATTACCACACGCGTGCTATGAGATGACACTTTGACGGACTTAAGCACACGTTTGTATGTGAGCGACATAACGGCGGTGCTTCATATCGACTTTGGCTCTGACCGCGTGTACCCCGTCTTCCGTGTGAGTTACTTCGCATTCTGGATTACACAACACATGACTCTGAGCTTGAGTCTCTTCTTCTATTCGGACGACTTGGTTTACATCCCATGCTTCGCCACACAATTGATCAACACCATTAGAGCACTGCTTCGACGTTCGACCAGTCACTTTGCTTGCAAACAACCCGAGTGTGATTGCAGTATATTTATTTAAGAAGCATAATTTTGTTGAGCAAATAATAACAATAAATTTTCGCCAAAGAAATTATAATTTATTGCTTTGAAGGTTTGTGAAAAGCAGTTACAGAAAAAACAGAAATTGAAAAGGAATTGTAACGCAGGTTGTAAGTCTTACGAAACTACAGAAACGATAAAATTCTATGTCAGCACTAAAATACACCAACGTGCGGTTATCTTCGACGTCGAACTTTGGCTCTAGATCGAAGGATTTGGACATTATGCCAGTACGGACCTGAATTATATCCGGTAAAGCATTGTTAACGCAGGAAATTCTAAAACTATTTAGAGACTACAACAAAAGTCTTCCCTTTACAAGAATGCTGTGACAGGCTTACTTTAAAATTTTGAGATTGACCTAATAGCCATGATATAGCTTATTATTATCGGAAATCTTTGCCAAATAGAGAAAGACGTCAACTGCGAGAGTGTTTGAAGCAATCGGATATTGGTGTGAGCTAAGTAGATCAAACTGAACCATAAACAACAATGTAAACGAGTAGCATTCAATCGAGTGAAAAGTTAGTACAAGACAAGAATAAAACAATGAAAGTTTCATTGTCAGCGAATGTCAGACTTAATGATAAACAAAGCCTTGCGTTCTACCGTTCATGGCAGCACAAACCAATTTTCTGCCGAATGCACTTCAAATTAAGTAACGGGACGGAAAATTCGCAATCTCTATTTATAATACTCTCGCATACTAGTTACACCGCAGCAGCTAAGGTTATGATGCCACATTGCGCTATGAACCTGTTAAAGGAAAAGACGATACTCACATCTCGGAAGAAGTTGCAGAGTCTTTTCATTTGTAGCAGATATTTAGACTACTTAAATATCTGATTCAAAGTCATATATGCGCTCTTAAAATTTAGTTTATATCCAATAAGAGGTTTTCATATCTTATTGTTGTTATTGTAGCGGCAGAAAGCATTACAGAAGCAATTTCGAGAAATGGTGCCGAGTTGACAGTCCTTGGACGAATAAAAATCGGATCCGCTCCTGTTACTGAGACCCGACTGTCGTGGAACGGTGCATATTTAATAATATCACGCATAGATGGCTTGATTCCATGACTCAACAAAGCTTAATAAAAAAAAAACGACAGCAGCAGCTCGTGCGTGTAACAACTGATGATTTAGTAAAATTTCAACCAATTTATCGCCTAATTCCAAAATATAGATCTCGCTCATGCACGGACACTTTTGCAGCTAATTGCTTAGGTTTGGTATTATTGCATGTAGTCAAAATAAGTCATGCGAAGCGCAAGTGAAGCTAAAGCTTCAACTTTGTATTTGCTCAAAGAATTTCCGCTGCTCTTCGGCAGATCGACATTTTGTATGCATGTTGAGTAGCATTCTATTTATTTTAGGCATAAGTGTAATTGTAAAAATAGACTTCTTCTCGTGGCAATTTTAAAAGTTTTCTATACACAATGTCTACTAGTTCCAAAACACCTTCTACACTTTTCACAAATTTAATTTGCCAGTATTTTTTGCCTCTGTACTATATGTTATGCACGGAAAATAAGTCTGACATCAGTTTTTACAATATTGCATTTAAATAATTAATTTTTTTAGCATGCAACTGAGAAAATAATAGGAGTCACAAACTCACCAGCACCAACGAAACATTTTTCCAGCAATAATCAGTAGCACTTCTCGCGAAACGACGTATTCAACTGAACGGAGCAAAACAGAATCAACGGATGTGAAGTATGTAAAATATATATATCTTAGATGTATAAATATATAATATGTATAATACATACATATATACATGCGTATATATAATAACATGAATAGCGATAAGGCGCGCTCTACTATACCATAATAGTGGGTCTATAAGAAAATGTTTACGTTCATATCATAAGGTTTTTATTGTAACAATTTCTACTTATAAATATATGTTATATATATATATATGTTATATATATATATTTATGTATATATATATGTATGTTTTATAAGTGCGTTATCATACATATCACAAATGTTTCTTAGTTTGCTTTAGAAGCCACACAGTACATATCTATAATAACTCTAAAGAAGTTTTCAATTGCAGCTGCTTATTTGCACCTATTTATATACGCTATGCATATAGTACAATAAATATATATTTCTTTTCACTCGCTTAAATAATTAACGAAGAACACGCCCGCTTAATGTGTCACCGTTAAACGTTTACACGTCTATTGAAGCTATAACTCAGCGACTACACTCATAAGCTTTTATATTCATTTATTTTATTTAATAATTTTGGTTTGTATGCTCTTTTTACCTTTTCTGCACTTTTTATATTTTGCAATGCAACTGGCACTGAAACATTGAATTCGTAAAGGCCCACAAGCAAACAATATGGTTTAACAAAAGCGGCAACTGCACACAATTATTGTTGTAGTATTGTATTGTATTGTATTGACGAGCCGAGTTCAAAACAATTAGCTACCGACAGTCGTAGAGCACTTGGCTTAAATACAATTAAATATGCAAACAATGAAAGCATTATTGAACACCAACCAAATATGTCCGATATGTGCCCAGCCTAATGCGGTGACGAACTATTTGGGCAACATAAATAAAAACAGTAATTAAAGCCGAAATAATTCTTTAATTTTACCTCTTATTTATAGTAGCAGGTTTGTATCGTTCAGTGGAGTCTTTTTCCATTCTTGAGAAAACAATGTATGTTTTGACACCATCAAAATTTAAGATTTCAACGAAGAAAATGCCTACCAACTTTTTATAAAACTAGATATTTTGACGTGGAATTTTCGGTTGCAAATTATGGTTTTTTTATATAAAATTTTTCGAAGTATGAAAAAATGAAAAAATAATATTTTAAATCAAAATATTACAGCATGTTTGGGACGTAAAACTTTAGTTTACCGCAAATTTGGTGAAATATAACAATTTTTGAGAAACATATAAAAAACCAAAAATTAGTTATTTTAATTTTCACATGAATTTTGAGGTTATGGAAAAAGTTTTAATACAAAAGTTATAGATTTTTTTATTACCTGCGACTTTACAATATAATTTTTCCATTGGACGCTAGTTCTGTCGGAAATCGAGATATATTTATAACACTTAAAACTACTCCTTTTCTTTTTCCGCACCACTGATCACACGTAAATTATTCTTCCTTTAAAAATTTTTCCAATGGGTCTCATCCGCCGATGATTTTTTTTACTTTTAACATTTTCAAAAGCTTCTGCACTGTCTTAAAACATTTGTTTATGAAATTAAAGTAAAGTAATTACGGATAATTTTTGTAGACAAGTACAATTTTCTTAAAAATACACAATTTTATAAGTTTAACAAAATGCATCATTTATTGCATCAGCTTTCTAAAAAAAGTCCACTTTTTTAAATTTTATCAAAATATTTTATTGTCGTACAAGTTTAAGCGAGCGACAAAACATCGCTAAAATAAGAATCTGCAAAACACTAAAAAAGTGACTTCAAACGTAATGAAACACAAACAAGTAAATACCACTGGATTATCAAACAACCGCTAACGAAATTCTCAAAAGTAACAAAAATATGTAGTATATGGTAGAAAATACATACACAACATATAATATATACCATATAATGAGGGTACACCTAACTTTGCTGCTATCAGTTATGAAATACTTTTCAAGAGAAACCTGACGCCGGATTTCAAATGAGTCACGAAGAGTCTATCATAAATAATTGAAAACGAAAGTATTTATGTAGGTGTATATACCTCGTTTGTATTTACATAGCAATTATCGCTATCGGCTACTCTTATCACTGCGAAGCGATAAAAAAAATGCAGTTAGAATTAAGAATATGTAATTAATTTGTTGGTTGAAAAAAATCAGATATTTAATTAAATTCACTGAATTGCTGGATAAAGCTTATATGGTTACTACGTGGAAGCACAATGAGCCTAACGATGGCTTAGGTGCGGATGCTTGCGGTCTAGCACCTTCCTCTTTAACCAGGGCTTTAGTCGTACCTCTACAAACAAAATAGTTTTAATTTAAAACAGAAACATAATTATATTTCCAAATATTATATATCATAAAAGGTATAGTGATATCACTTATAATCCAAAAAAGTATAAAAGCAATTAAATATGACTTGAAGTACTTCGCGACACAGGCAGGTGCGCCCGTCTCTGTTTGCCGGCGGTGTCATTAACCAACTCAAGCGGTATTTCTTTGCTTGCAACTGTCTACAATTCGCACACACATTAGTTTTGATTGTCAGTTAGATATATATATTGCAAACATTAATAAAACCAGCAGTTAGCACGTAATGTATGTATGTACGAGTATATGCATATTTACATTTGTAAACGAACATTACATTTTAAATAGCATGTGTAGGAACGCAAAAGCAACCCTGTAGTGAAATGCAGTAGCCTCCTTGGCACTAATATGAACCATAAATCTAACTGGACAACCGACAATCATTTTTTCAAGCACACGACTA